GGGTGTGACAGACACCCGCGGGCTGCCAGGGGCCTCTGCTGGAGCTGGGATTCGCTGGGGATCCCCGTGGGTTCCGTGGTTTTAGGGTGTGTTAAAGCCCCAGCCTGTGTGTCACCGCCTCTCCTCAGGGAGCACTGCAGCCGTGGCTGGCAGCAGGACCCAGAGGGGATCCCTTGGCTGTGGGAGCCTCCAGGCTGTTCCCTGGGGCTGGGGACAGGGATGCCATGTGGGCACTGCACCCAGGTAACACCAGAGCAACCCCAAATCTCCCTGTGGTGCGGTTTGGGTGCCCAGACTCCCTCCCACTCCCATCCTGCAGGGGCAGGATGTGCTGGCCCCTCATGTTTCCTGTGAAGCATCAGCTTCAGAGCTGCTGCCTGGCCTCTGCCTCCCTACCAGGAGCTGAGTCAAAGCTGCAGAGCCCTGTTTGATATGCCAGTTGCCATAGGAACAACCTAATTTCCTTCCCCAGCCAGACTGGAAGGTGGAGGGAAGCACAGACTAATGCAGAGCCTCAAGGTTGCTCCTTCCCCTCGGAGCTGTGGGACACCTGGGAGCTGGGGAATGTCTGCTCTGCACAGCAGGGCTGATGTGCCTGCCTTGGGATTGCTGCCAAATCAGCTGAGCCCTGAGGTGCAGGCAGAGCCCTTTGCACCAGACATGGCACTTTGTCCCCTTTCTGCTCGTCTGGAACAGCAGGAGGGACACAGGCAGGTGGGAATTGTCAGGCTGGAGAGTGGAATCCCTATTGCACAGGGATTGCACAGCTCATCTTCCCAGGGCTTGCCCTGGCGCTGACAAGCCCTCATTCCATTCAGGTTCCTCTTTCCCCAGACATCCTGCTTCCATCTCACGTTCCTTGTTTTCAATTCCTTTGGAATTCAGCTGTACCTGGGCCCTTCTGCTGCACCTTCCCATGGGTGCAGGTGTGTTATCCCTGAGGAGAGGGGCCCTGCATGTCCCATTGTCCCAGGAGGAGGAGCAGCTGGGCTCTGCTGCTGGTGGATTTGAGGCACAACCTCAGCTTGTCTGTCCCTTTGTTTATCTGTAGGTTAAAAATGACCCTCCACTCTCAGGGATGTCAAAGCTTAGTTACTATTAATGTGTTTTTTGAATGCTTTGAGGCCCCCAAATGGCACCAAAGAAGGGTAAAATATGCTGCTTGTGCAGCTGTGAACCTCTGGGAGGGTGGATTCCATCCCAGACTTTCCCTGTGGAGTGGGAGGCTCTTGGCCTCGCCTCCTGCTGCTCTTTAGGTCTTATCCCTTCATTTCATTGCAACAGAAAGGAAAATCTGTGCCATGACAGGGGTCAAGGATAGGCCAGCCACTGCCGTCCTGCTGAACAAAGGCTTGATCCTCTCCCCAGTAGGGAAAAGCTCATTGGCAGGATGAGGATTATGAAGTTAATCTTCCCAGGAGTGGTGGGGGACCCCTGCCTGTGCCCTGCCTGTGCCCAGGGAGCCTCAGCATGACCAGGGCCTCTGCACTACTGAAAATCCATCCAGAATAGCAGCTTGGCATTCATTCAGTGCTTTGTTGTGTGTGTTTGTGCTGCCCGGTGTAAGCAAAGGAATGTCCCTTGCTGGGGCTGTAAATCATGTGAAATGAGCCCTGGAGAGTCATGGTTGATGGTAAATTAATGGGGCCTTGCATTTTCCTGTAATTAGTAGCATCAGGTGCCTTAATGGCTGATTGTCAGGTTGGAGGGCCCTTTTCTGAGTCACAGAACCCCAGACTGGTTTGGGTTGGGAAGGACCTTAAAGCCCATCCCATTCCAACCCCTGCCATGGGCAGGGACAGCTCCCTCTGGACCAGGCTGCCCAGAGCCCCATCACTGCCTCTGAATCTCTGTGATATGTCTGTTCCCTCCCTTGGGAGCTCTGTGACTTGTCTGTTCCCTCCATGCCAAAATTTCCCAGCCATTTTAGGTGGGAGCCTGGACAGCAGAGCAAGGAAGGGTCCGGTCCTTCTGTCACCTGAGCTCCTTCCAGAACCTCCTTGAAGCCCAGGTGAGGCCCAGGTGAGGCTCTGAGCTTTTCCTTTCCCTCTGCCTGCAGTACCACAGCAGCCTGGCCTCCCTAAATGGCCTCGAGGTTCACCTGAGGGAGACCCTGCCCAAGGACTCTTCAGCCTCAGCCAGGACAAACTACAGCTTCACACACTATGACCGTGTGCAGAACGTCCTCACAGGTGAGCCTTCATCCTCTGGGCCTGCAGGAGGGAGCAATGAGGAGAATGGGGTTTATGGGAGCCTTTTCTCATGCCTCAGACAACATTTCTCAGCAGAGCTCCCACCACAGACCCCACATCAAAGGCTCTGTTGTGGGATCTTTGTTGGGGTTGAGGGTGTCCCCAGCCTGTTCTGCAGCTGTGTGTGGTGAGCTCCAGAGCCTTTTCCTGCTCAATGAACAGGAGCACACTGCAGAGTGGGTTTTTAACACCCCTCTCTCCTGTTATTTAGCCAACTTGCCCCACACACCTGGACCCCTAGACCGGCACTTCCTGAGGGCAGCCACCCTCATCCACTCCGACTTCAGCCAGCTCCCCACGGCCTCAGAGGTGATCATCAGGTAAGGGCTGCTCACAAACCTCCTGCCCCAGAAGGGCACAACCCCTTTCAAACCTGGCTGGGTTTTGTTACCACACCCAAGGACCAGTCACGTTGCTTTATTCCCTAAATTTCCTTTGATTGTGGGTTCCTGGATGTTGAGAGGCTGCAGTGGCACCAGGAGGGTGGGCTGAGGGCACAGCTGAGTGGTGCCATGGCTTGGATTAAGATGCAACACTCACACAATTGCCAGTTCCTGGCACTGTAAGGTTCTAAGACACAGTTTTAAATTTAGCTGTTCCTAATAAATTTGTGTCTCGGCAGGGAGCCAGAGGCGCCCAGAATTGGCAACCTAGATATTGTTTTCTTGCACGGCTTGCTGGGTTGGAAACACTCTGTGATGTGCATGGCAAACTCAATTGTGATGCACCAGGAAGGATGGTCTTATCCCAGCCAGATCCCTTCCCAAAACCCAGAGATTTCCCTGACATCCAGAGCCCTTTGCCAGGCCATGGCTGAAGTGGACACCCCTTTCCTCAGCTGAGCTGGGAGTGCACAGATTCCACCCACCTGGTCCTGCTTGTTTGTCCAAAACATGATGAAATAAAGATGCTCCTGGGAATTACACAGTAACTCTGGCACTGCTTGCCAAGGGAATGTGAATCACACACTTCAGTGCTGGAGAATTCCTTGTTTAGCATGAGCTTTGCTGGCTGCTTAAATCCAATCCTAAACTGACTGGCTAAGCTGGAATGTTCCCTGTTACCCCGAAAAAAGCAACTCCATGTGTGAATCAGCCTGAGTAACAAGATGACTAAAACTGCTTTCTTTTATGGAGAGTTGTCACAGAAGGGTGTCAGCAAACATAGCAGTTGCTGCTTTCCTCCTTCGAGGAGGAATCCAGGGTCCTTGGCTTTGCTCCCTGCCAGCCCTCCTGCAGGGTATACCCTGGGAGGGGGGATTCTTAGTCTTAATTAATGTTTTTAATCACAGCTTTGGTGGTGGCTGAATCTGACTCTTGTCTGAGCTTCATCACACCTGTGAGAGGAGTGGTTCCTGCTGCAAGGTGCTGTGCTGGGATTTGGTTGTGGCCAGCAGCAGTGGCAGAGGAGGAATGTCAGGCACAAGGAGTGTTCCAGGCTCGTGGTGTGCTGGGCTGGGCTGGCAGCAAGGGGAAGCTTTGGAGTGTGGCCAAACACAGAATCCCAGAATCATTAAGTTTGGAAAAGCTCTCCCAGAGCATCATGTCCAACCTGGGACCAATCCCCACCTTGTCACCCAGTCCAGAGCACTGAGCTGGACTCAGTCACAGGTTGGACTTGATGGTCTTGGAGGTCTTTCCCAAACTAAATGATTTTGTGATATCTCATTGTCCCTTTTAAGGATGCCAGGGTCTGGTTCCCTGTGGCCTTCAGGTGTTTGGTGCCTGTTTAGCTCCATATTCCCATGCTGAAACACCTTAAAATCCCTCTCAAAACCTGGGATCCCAGTGCCCAGCTGTGAATCTTGCCCAAAGCTGTCAGTCTGACCACTGCCTCTCCCTGCCCTTCCAGGAATGCCTCCACAGCCGTGTATGCCTGCAGGAATCCTGTCCAAGAGACCTACTTCCAGCAGCTGGGAGCTCCCCTGCGCAACTCAGGCGTCCCCAACCCTCATGACAGTGCCTTCAGTCTGCCCAGCAAGGCCAAGCAGAAGCTGCTGAAGCATGGGGTGAACCTGCTGTGAGCTGCTGTGCTTGGACAACGGCTCAGCCCTGTGAATGTTCATCTCCAGTAAGGAAAATCTCAGCTGTTTGTGCCTAGAGAGGCAGGAGGCACTGCCCTGCCTCTCTGGGGTCTCCAGCCTGCCTGGCCCTGAGGAAGGGACACTCCTTGCCCTCTCCTGAAGCACATTTTGGGCTGGTGCAGGTGTCACTGACAGCATTTACCAAAGACTGAGGACAGAATGCAGCATCTTGGGGCTCTTGGTTTACATGGACTTTACAGGGACTCCTTGGTGCTCTGCAGACTCCCCATGTGCCTTGATCTGAGGTAAAACCTCACCTTGCTCTGAGTTACACAGCCCCCAGGCACTGCTGCCTTTCAGACATGTCAGTCAGCCATTGTGTGTGCCTGCCCTTGCCCTGGTCAGACTTTGGCTTTCTGTCCCTTAATCCATGGCAATGATTCTTCCATGACGTTGTGCCTTACCTTGGTTAGCAGTGCCTGCCTGTTGTCACACGGGAGCAGAGCAAGAGCTGCAGAGCTCACAGTCCCCTTCTGGGTGCTCCCAGGAGGTTTTTACACCACAGGTGGCTCTGGAGGGATGTCCCTGTCCCTCCACACCTCCCTGGTCAGTGATGGTCCAGCCCAGCCCTGCCCTCCTTGTGGATGTGCAGCCTCCCAGGGCCTGGGTAGTGGTGATGGTGGTGGGAGTGTCCCTCAGCCTGTGCTCCCTCCCTCCTCCTGCAGGACCTCACTTCACTGCTCTTACTGCTCCATTTGCTCACACTCTGCAGACCCCAAAGTTGCCTCTTAGCTGATGGGACCAAAGAGGTTTTGTATCCCCTCAGCAGCTGTCCCCTTTCTGCTCTGACAGTGTCCCCAGTCCGTGGTGGCCAGGGGGACCTGTGGAGGTGGCTGCTTACACTGAGGGATGGATAGCTGTGTTTGGACCCTGCTGCTGGTGCAGACACACCCCTGAGTGTGACTGTGGAAATAAAGGAGTCTCCAAGGCTCATCCCAGCAGCCAGAGTCACGTTGTTGTCATGTTTGTTCTTCCTGATGTGATGGGCTGGGCTGTGGGAGCTGTTCCCTGTTTACCTCCTCCAGGGGTGGTTCCTCCAGTGCTGGGGTGGAACAGGCAGAGCCTGTTGGTTCAATCAGTCCTGCAGAGCAGCTGCTTGGAAGGTTCCTGGTGGATAGATGTGTGACGGGTCACCAAGAGATGGTGAGCAGAGACATGAACGTGGGGAGGTGCTGAATCAGAGCTGGGCATGGGAAGGTCACCACTGCCACAACTCTGCTCCCACTCCAGCACAGACCATTCCCAAGGTTGCTCTGTCATCCCAGGGCTGCTCCTCAGGCACTGCTGGGAAGTTCAGAGGACTCCAGCTGCTTGCTCAGGGGTGGCTGGGCACAGATGCCACCTGGCTGGCAGCCCTGGCAGCTGACGAAGTGTTTCAGAGTCGTGTGGCACTGCTCCCATCCTGGCCATGGAAGGACTGTCAGGAGCTTGTTGGCAGCGTAGGAGTGAAAACTCCCTGGGAAGCCTGAGCTGGAGCCACCCTGGCAACCTCCTGTCTCAGTTCCACCCCTGTGGAAGATGGCACAAGGTAAGGTGCTGCTTCCCTGGTGACCTCCCTGCTCACTTCCACTGCTCTGGTTCTGGAGGCAGCACAGGAAACATCACAAGGAAGAATATCAGGGTGGGAGAAGGCAAGAGGGATGAGGGTTGTGTGCTCTGGGATCCCTGCTCAGCTGAGCCAAGTGACTCCTCTGGGAGATGCTGCTCTGCCTGTCCCTTCTGTGCCCTCAGCAGATCTGGGTTCCCTCAGCAATTCCCAGAGGAGCACTAGGAGCAGCTCCAGCCTGCTCTTCTCTGGGAGATCCACTTAGATCCTGCCTGGCTGCTTGGAAAGTGGTTGTGTGCTCTAGCAGGAAACACAGAGAAGTGGAAGGAGAAGCCTGAGAGGGACAGGAGGGAGATTTGGCACAGCAGCCAAGCACAGAGTGGATGGATGCTCCTGCCTGCTGCCGTCAGGGATCCTGCTCTGCAATCTGCTGAGCTGTCTGCCAGCCAGGAACAGCTGGGCTGGCTCTGCTCCTTCCTTCAGCTGCTCAGGCTGAATCTGCCCAGCCAGCCCCTGCCTGCCCACCCAGCTCTGTGCTGGTCAGGAGAGAACAGCACACAGAGAGCTCCCAGCCCGTAGGGCAATGGCTGTGCTGGAGAGGATGCTTAAAAAAGGGGCATTTTTAATCTGCTCCATCAGCTGGGCCTGTCTGAGTGCTGCCAGGGGGGCTCATGGGGAGCAATTCCTGCCCTGCCAAGCTGGCTTTGTGCTTAAGGGGGTGAGGCATTGGTTTGCAGGCAGTTGGGTGGGATTTGAGCAGCACCCTCTGCTCTGGAGATGCTCCTGGGAAGCTGCTGCCTTTGATGAATCAGTGCAGGCAGCTGGAAGGAATTCCTGAAATGGTTTGTGGATGCTCTGGCAAGGCTGATGGCTTCTGTGTGGAGCTTTGGGCCTGCAGCTGCTCCTAGGGATGGCTGGGGACATTCTGCTGCTCTGGTCCAGTCAGCAGGGCTGGAACCCACAGCTGTCCCCCACCAGCAGGCTGTGGGAGATGCTCCCTGTGCTCCTTGGCAGACTGGGCTCCACTGACATCACAAAATCCCAGGATGATTTGGGTTGGAAAAGACCTCAAATATCCATTTGCAAGTCCCTGCCATGGGCAAGGATTCACCCACCAGACCAGGTTGCTCAGAGCCCCATCCAACCTGGCCAAATCCAGCCTGGGGGGCTGTGATTGCTCAGGACAGAGTTTCCATGGGCTGGGTATTTTTGAGCCCTAGCCACACTCACTGTATCCCTGGCAAACAGGCCTGTGCCCCCTCCCACCCTGCAGCTCCTGCTCTTTCCAGGCCATTCTCCCCACCAGATAAGCAGGACCCAACCCTTTGCTGTTTGCTTGACCCTGGAGTTGTTATAACAGCAGGCAAAGCCCATTCTGTTTTCAGCACAACTGTTTATTGATAATCTTTGCTTATCCACTGTATGAATGTTACCAACCTTTGGACAGAGCCAGCCTGCTTCCCCAGGGCCTGTGTCCAGGTAGCCAATGCGTGTAGAAATCATGCACTTCAGGTAGTCTGTAACAAGACGGGTGTAAAAAATATCTCAGATGTATTTGAAATCTCTGCCTCCTCTTGCAATCGACTCACTGAAAAGTCTGTAAAGAAGTTGTTGGGGGACAGGGCTGGTCCCTCCCGGGCAGGGCACAGAGGCAAAGAGTCCCCAGGCAGAGCTGTGAGCATCCACCACACACTGTGCTTTGGGGGGGTGTTATAAACCAGCCCCCAGACCCCAAACAGATGGGGGGACTTCAGGAAAAGCGTGGTGGTCCCTGGGTGGGCAGGACCTCATTGCTCAGGCTGCAGAATCAACCCCCACCTAGGGAATCTGTCCTGTGGTGTCAGGTCCATGGGAGCTGCCACTGTGTGTGCCTGCCCTGGCTTGAGGAAAGGAGAACATGGAGCAGCAGAAGGAATGGTGACCTCCTTTCTTCCTACAGACAGACAAAACCCCCATTCTCTTTTTCCAAACAGCATCCCTGCCCCTGCAGGGCCTCCCAGCTGGGAGCTGGGAAAACTGAGGGTTGCAGATAGAGCAAGGAAGGGATTTGGGCAATTGCAAACACCCTTGGTCAGACTGAAGAGCACGACTGTGTGTGCTGTTCCCTCAGCAGAGTGGAGGTCAGGGCTCCTGCCTTGCTGGGCTGGCGATGGACTCTGCTCCCTGCCTGGGTGACAAAAGGGGTTTCTGAGGGCAGGAGGGCTGGGGAGCCCCAGCTGGCACATGGAGGAGGAAGCAGGAGCCCCAGGAGGGTTCTTTGTGAGCAGAGCTGTGCCCTGCCCAGCCCATCACACCCAACCTGGGGGGGGCACAGTGCCCATGGCAGCCCCCAGTGTCCATCAGTCCGTCCATCCCGGGCAGGGCAGGCTGGTTGGCTGTTATGGTGTGTGTGTGCTGTTCCTTTGATGACCACGAGAAAAATTTTTACATTACATTCAAACGAGCACCCTTGGGTTTGTTACTCTACTTCTGAACACCGCAAAACACAGTTAGCAACAGAACACGACGGAGCGGGGGGGACAGCGAGCCCCGGCGGGGCCGAGGCGCCGGCGCTTGCAAAAGAATCCCTGAAGCCAACGATGGAGGAAGAGGATGGGCGCGGATACACGTCACAGTTTCCATTTACAACACCCCCGGGAGGGAGCACCGAGGCCGTGAGCCGGGAGAGGGCCCCGGCAGAGCTGCCCTGAACCCACCAGGCCGGGCAGCGCCGTCATCGTCCCGGCGCGAAGATGAAGTCGAGGGCTTGGCGCTCGGCCGCCGCCACGTTGGGGTGCCACAGGTCTACCATGAACACCACGCGGGGACCTTCCTCCGGGGCACCTGAGGGGTGGAAGCACACAGTGAGGGCAGGGAGGCACCCACCTCCCCAGTGCAACCCCAGCAAACCTTCCTCCAGGGCACCTGGGGATGTTGCAGTGTGATGTCATGGTTTCCCTCAGTTTCCCCAGTGTGACTGTTCACAGGGGTCTTAGGATGAGGGAAGAGACTCCATGTTTCAGAAGGCTTGATTTATTATTTCATTATATATATTATATTAAAACTATACTAAAAGCATAGAAGAAAGGATTTTATCAGAAGGCTAGCTAAGAATAGAAAAAGAAAGAATGATAACAAAGGTTTGTGTCTCGGACAGAGAGTCCGAGCCAGCTGGGCTGTGATTGGCCATTAATTACAAACATCCAACATGGGCCAATGAAAAAACCACCTGTTGCATTCCACAGCAGCAGATAACCATTGTTTACATTTTGTTCCTGAGGCCTCTAGCTTTCTAGCTTCTCAGGAGGAAAAATCCTAAGGAAAGAATTTTTCATAAAAGATGCCTGTGACACCCCAGTCCTTCGCCAGGTGTGTCAATCACCTCTCCTTTCCCCCACCCTGACCCCTGCTGAGTTCTGTCTGTCAGTCCTGACATTCCAGAAGGGCATTAAGTGATTGGCAGAGTTCAAAAGATGCCTTCCACCCCTAGAGGACATTGAGCCATCCAGGTGTCATTTGTCCCTTAAGACTTTCTCCCCTCTACCTGGTTGCTAGCCCTCTGTGCCCCTTCCCTGCCCCTCTCCCCGGTGTTAAAAGGAACAGCAACCACGCAGTTCGGGGAGTTCTGTTGGAGCTGTTGCTGGATTCAGAGGCCTATGTGCCAGGAATAAAGCTCTGGATTGAAACCCTCCCTCAGAAGCGACTCCTTTCTTTCATCCTCACCTTAAAGCTTCTCCACCAGAGGTAAACCTGAGCTCCTGCACGTCTGGACTTGTCCCAAGCACCCAGCTGCAGCACCCAGCTAGCCAAAGGTGTCTCTGAGGTGAAAACACCACAGCTGCTGCCTTTTGGTCAAGCAGCAAGGGCCAGACAAGCCCAGGCACGCTCTGTCCAGCTATATTGGTAATATTCCAATATGGGGGACTGGAAATGCAAAATGAGAGCAGGGAGGTACCTCTCCAGTGCAACCCCAGTAAACAGCTGCTTACCGGGAACTCAGGGACATGGGTATTGCTCTTCCCTGCCAGGCCTGCTTTGGGATTTGAGGATTCCTGAGGCAAGGCCTCCATGCAGCTGCGTCCTGGATCTGTGCGGAGAGCGGCTGCTGCGCCACTCCGGCCTTCCCGGCCCTGCACGGAGCTGTGTTTCCCAATCCCGCAGCAGGTTTGATGTGGAAGCAACAGCTTTTGTTCTCCCACTCTCTCTGCATGCTCCCCTGTGTAAAGGAGCTCTGCCTGATGCTTTCATGCCACGGGCGACTAATGCCGGGTAATCCGGGAGAGCTGGAGCGGAACAGGCCCCGTCAGGAGGGAGGAGGAACCATCCAGAAATCCAGCAAGGCTGCTCCCCTGCTGGCCTGCCAGCACCGAGCTGCAGCAGGGCTGCAGACAGAGCAAGGAAGGGATTTGGGCAGTTCCTAAT